GGTGGATCAGTGGGTGATCGAAGTAATTTGATTGGATAAAAGAGTGAAATTTGGAAAATTGTGTGATTGGTGGGTGTAGGGTGAAGGCTTTTAAAATTTATAAGTATATAAATTGTAAGTATAAAAAATAAAAGCAGAAGAGAGATGGGGGGAACTAGCTCAGTGGTAGAGCGTGTGCTTTGCAAATGCAAGAATGCACAAGGTCCTGGGATCGATCCCCAGGTTCTCCATTCTTTTTATTTTTCTTATCTTCGTACCTTTATTTTTTGTCACTAGGTTTAGTCAAAATATTTTTATATAAAAATAACTACTAATGTCTCTCTCTTATTTTATAATCAATATAATTGCTATATATTATAATTTTATTAGTAATTGAATCTATTTTATGCAGACATGAGCCCTGATCATACTTAGGCCTGATTAACAGTTATTCTATATGCAACTCTTGTGGACCCACTTTGCCAAAGACCTTATGAACTTTGATCATATATGTATTTATGAAGAAAAGATTTTTATTACTCTGCTGCTACCTTTTCTTTAATTCTTTTCTTGTCTAGTTATGTATAGCACATTCTGGGATCACACCAGCAGTATTACTATGATTTTTATAGCCCCTGTATTGATATACGTTCATATTGAGTAATGTAAAGAGTATTTCACATTCTTGTTTTCAATGGTTTGTGGGGGCAATTGGCTTTATTTTTGTTGAAATATTCACAGGTTAATAGTATGTCTACTCTTATTTTGTACGGGTATTAGTTTGCTTTTTAAAGTGGCTACTATTTGGAAGAATAGTAGATCAAATCAAACTGTCTGTGGACTTGGATGCATGTATTGTTGATATCATTAAGATAATAAAAAAGAAAAATGTAAACAAATAAATGGTGCGTATGGCTGTTTTGTTAATGCGAAATTACTACATAATTAACTTTGTTTATTATAAAATTCAAAGTGGAGAGATTTAGATGTCAGTGGTTACTGTTATTATACAAAGTAGCAACTTTGATTGCAATTTCAAGGGTACATATTCTGTGCTATTTACCTACAGACATAGATTTATATAATTGTATTAAAATATATGTGATTGTGTCTGTTTAATGATAAGGGTAACAGCAGTGACGTAGATTGCACTTGAAATATCTGCTGTAAACTTTGTTATATAAAACAACCAGTGTCATGTTTAATAAAGCCCAGTACATCAAACTTTTATTTCTTTGGCTCCAATATATCATACCGTATTACGTGTTTAGCTTATTGAAGAAATCTCATAATGCAACTTGGTAACTTCATTGCTTTGACTGCTCTTGCTGCTTCACTTGTTGCTGCTCAGCCAACCGCTAACTTCAAGCGTGTCCTCGCTCAGGGCAACTCTGCTGGTGTTATGTCCAACGAACAAAGAGCTCTCGCTGCTCTTGCTGCCCTCAGTGGATCTCATGACGCTGTGGCCCAGGCCTTTGGTCCAAGTGAAATTATCGGCGGAATACGCGACTACGTTGATTGCAAAGTATTTAACAACTGCCCAACAGATGGAATATTGGGTGAGATTGCCAAGTTCATTTTGTAAATCATGTGGAATTGTAAGCATCTTTAGTTAAAAAGTTGTTTTTCATTCTAACCAAATCCGCCTAGTTTAGTATTTGTTAATAATTGGAAAACAATTTAGCTTTAGCCAATAAAGTAATATGTGCAAATACACAAAAATTGATGCTAGTTATTTGGTGTATAATTTGAATGCAATTAAAAAATAGTCCAGCAATTTTAAACTAAAAATTACATTATTGATTTCTTTTTCTATACCAAGCGGATACTATATTTCAACAAATGAAAACATTCCCAAAACTTGAATGAAAATAAACCAAAATCTAAAGACTTTTTGGAATAAATGGCACAACCAATGGTAAAATTTGTTTCAAAAGCTCATCACTCCCCGTGTTAACAAGGTTGCATCTACAAACCTGATTTTCAGAGACACAAATACTAAGCCATTTGGAAAATACCCTAGGGTTCGGGTACCTACTAAACTCACTAGAACTATCGTCATATAGAGCAGAAAATATGTGATCAAGACGATGATACTTGCGAGCGATAAAGAACAAAAACGCTGTATTTCCAATAGCTGTTTTGAGTTCATGGGTGGTTACATGGTCAAGGTTTCTGGTTTTGGCAAGCTGAGCTGCAAATTGAATAATGAATCCTGAAAAATATTGAAGTCCGGTTAGCCATACCTCAAGGTCAGAAAATTTGGTAGACTTTGTACCTACAGCTTGAGGTGTTTGGATAGCATGGTTCAGAGCAGATTCAGCTATATAGTACCTAAAAAAGTAAGCAACAAGGTCGACCGCTATATCCTCGTTCTCAGTTTCTATCCATTGGAATATTTTGATACTAGTTCCAACAGCAGGAAGTGGTTCCTTATATGGAGTACTCAACCTTGACCCGACTCTTTGAATATTGGATTTCAGAGTCCTACGCAAGTCGTACTGGTTATATATATCAGTTACGGCTTCGTACTTTTTGCGCTCTCTAAATATCCATGTCTTCATGAGTTCAAGAGGAGAGTATTTAGATATATCGGACTCGATGGTGAGTTCAGGTGTTCCTGAAGTTGGGGTTGGTGACTGGAGTTTGAAAGCACTCAGGGCTTGGTATATTTCTGCTTCTGAATAAAGAACTGGAGGATAGTTGGAATCAACCTCGGAAAGGTCTATTTCTATGGCTCTTTCGGGGAAGTTTTTTGGATACCAAACACCACTTGGGATGACGTTGGACTGGCTGCCATCCAAATGGACAAGCTGATCCAAATCCATGCCAGCAAATGTTGTATTTAGAGTGGGGTTGCTTGCTCCAAAGGATGACGATGATGCTTCCTCGCTACCTGTAGCCATAGAAGCTCTTCTCGATTCACTAAGTCTAGGAAAATTATGACTTTGTGCAGGAAGTGTTCCCCTGTTGGAAAAGGGATTCATATATGCACCAGCAGAACCTGAAGAGGAGAACGGTGGTTCCAAGAAACTGGGATATGTTAAAGCCGATTGTGCCGTTTGTGCTGGTGGTGGTTGATGGTTTACAAAATTGTTAGTCCACCATTCTTGATTCTGGTACTTGTCTCTGCCTTTATATCCGTACATGTTAGGATCATGGTTGTCCATTTTTTGTTCTTGGGTTGTTGCAAAACCTAGAATGCTTGGCAATTATTGAAAAGAAAAAAGAAAAAAGTTATTGAGTCGAAAGAACTGCTAATTCCCCAGCTATATATATATATATATATATATATATGCATTTAGAGGAGATGTCTCGCAGCCAATGTCATTAAACCAAAAAAGAAATATGGAAAGTTATCATTGAAGGGTGACCATTTGCTAACAGATTTTGATCACTCATTGGGCTGGGATTTCCCCTATAATCTTTGGCCACCAAAAGTCACCTTTCAAAAATTATAATCCATATTTGGCTATAAACTGCATCAGCCAAATCGTTTTGTAAAATCTTGCATTGTTCATGTAAATATCATGATCCATTCATCCCAAAATCACTTTCTTTTTACAGATTCTTGGGAATCTTGCTTTATTTAAGTGCATAGGGAATTGCTGTATTTGCCATTGATTTTTTTGTAGATGTTTGGTATTTTTGGATCCATAGGATACAGCATGAAATCTGCTATATGGGAGATAATGTTTGAGGGAGAAAGTTTACTAGAAAACTTTCTCCCTTCAAAAATTATGATCCATATGGTTAAAGTGAGTTACATGAAACAACATTGACCAAGCTATAACCAAAACCCACTGATAGCTTAATTAATCAAGAGTTTTCACCACTATTCTTGTTTATAATTTGCATTAATAACTGAGATCATTCACCATTTCCTTTCAAAATACTAATAAGAAAGCTAAGGTATACATGAGCAACTGGCACAAAATCCATCGTATCAACACCCACAAAATAATTCAAAATGTCTGGTATTGAATTGATCTTTTGTAATGGATTTCTAGCCTCAAAATTATTGTCTAAGCTGAACCATCAAATTAGATCAATAAATGCAATTTATATTTATGAATAGATGCAGTGATTATGTAATTAAAAATGATAAACATAGCATTATGAAAAGAAATTATATACTACAAATCATCAAATGGTATATCGTTGTAGTCAATTTTTGGCGATTTTCTGGTCATTGTATTTTGTACAAACAATGATGATAAAGACGATGATGACGATGACGACGAAAATAATGGAAGTGATTTGCGGCAACGACCTTTTGATTTAATTCCAAATGTATAGCTAGAACGGCGTGGATTGACATTTTGCTTTTTGATGCCCCCACTACCACTACTATTCCTGCTGTCAATGATGGTTGTAGTAGCAGGAGTAACACTTCCTCTGGTGACAATAGCAGAGGTGCTTGGAGAATCATAGTTTAGACTAATCTCATCTATATCACTAGAACTCATACAGTCTAAAGAATCGTCTGACACAATATGTGGCAATTGTGTAATCGTTGATGGCAACGCAATTGAAGACAAGCATTTATTGCTGGACGGGTTTAGTCTTGGTTTATTTTTTGAACTGGGGGTACAATAAATTGTGGATTTGGTTGACCTTTTGCGTCCATAAACTAATGTAGAAGTTGTTACTGGTGATGATCTCGCCACCGTTTTGAGAACCCGTTTTTCAATTGTATTGTCACTAGAGCTTGATCTGGTCTGCTTTTTCCTTGGATATAGTTTACTGCTGGATCCTCTTTTTCTACCCTGTTGTTTGGGTATATTTTCTGACAGGCGTCTTTTCTTGGTACTAATTTGGTCATCTATGTTCTCTTGGCCATCAATTTCGTCATATTCACTTGAACTTTCTGATGCAGGGTACTTAGAAGGAGTAAGGGACGAAGAGTACAATAATTTTGTGCTTTTATTCGTCATTTTCTTGTTTTTACCACATTGTGGAGTTTTAACTCCTTTTATAGATTTGACAGGAATCACGATCTCAGGTATCATAGCCCGCATCGGCTTTTTCCCGCTTTCTTTGTTTATTGGTGATAGAGTGGATTTGCATGATGGGGTCTGCTTTTGAGTGGGGCTGGTAGACTTTTTTGAAAGACCAAGAGATAATCTACTATTGGAAGGACATGGTGTCCCGACGATGTCGACAAGTGGCGAATCTGGGATCCAGAGCGTATCGGATTTGTTTGGGGGAGATATCCTCAATGTAAAGTTTTCAGGTTTTATTGGATTTT